CGCCCCCCGCGCCTCCCTCACGGCGGACCCCGCGCGCCCCCTGGCGGCGCAGCCCCCGCCCCGCTCCCGCCGTCAGAGCCCCAAATTAAGTGTTTTCACTCAGTGGAAATGAAATGTTTTGCAAGATGAAACAGAAAGAAAATTGAGGTTTTAGGTAATTACTAGTTGGCATTTACATATCACAGGCTGGTTCAACACCTATTCATTTTCCTCTTTTATTTTCAATTTTTTAAAATTGCTCATTAAAACGAACACATGACAGGGACGGGGGGAAAAAATTGCTCTTCCTCTTTTTCCTGAGGACTACAAAATCCAGATCTACTTTAAATACATTTATCTATAATTATCACATACAAAAAAGCCTTACTTAATTTACATGAATAGGGTGACCGAAAAAAAATTTAAAAAAAAAAAAAAAATCTAAAAGCCAGGAAAAAGCACATGTGAGCTGTCAGTGTGTTGTGCCTGCGGAGTGCCGGGGCCAGGCTGGAGCAGCTGAGATCCCGGAGCTCTGAGCTGGGATCCCGGTGCTGTTTCCCATCCCATTATCCCATCCCATCCCATTATCCCATGCCCAGCTCAGCTGGCACTCCACGCTCTCGCTTTCCCCTCATCTCCCCTTCTACTCCCACTACAAAGAAGTGACTCCACACAGTCCCTGCTTTCAACTTCTTTGTTCCAGGAGCTACTCCACACTTCCTCCAGCTGCTCCTGAAGGCGTGACCTTTCCACCTCCTCCATTCACACAGAATAAGCCTTTCCTCACATAACCTCCCTGCCTGCAGGATCCTGCTCTGCAGCTCCAGTCACACACAGGCTCTCAGCTCGCTGCATTCTCCACTCAGATTCCCTTTGTTCAATTAAATACATCTGTCCCATGCAACGCCCTTAATTTTCCTGCACCCTTCAGCTTTTTTTAAATTTTAACCTTGTGAAAGGCTCATTTAACCCCACAGCGCATTTTAGGATACAATTTGTATGAAAAATGCTATATAAAATAAAGTTTTATTGTGTCATATGTTAAGGACATAAAACATCCTAGATAGAAGTGTACAGGAGTTGACATGATAGACTAATATATTTTAAGGTCTATTGTGTAAATATGTATTTAGGGAATTCTAAAGCATGGTATTATTGACCCAAGTCTCTCTTAAAACACATTGATATATGGAGTAAAAACCCTTATGAAAAGTAGCAACTTCATCTGTGTAGTAGTCACCTTTCAAACTGAAATATCTGTCATCTTCAGTTTTTTATAATTCAATGGAGAACACAATGGACATCTTCACAAAATTCCTGTCTTTTTAAGAGGAATAATATTTAAGCTAAACTTACATGCATAAACCTAAAAAGAACTAGAAACTTTTACAAGTACATTAAAAGAAACGTACAGTAACTATTTTTATTTGCAGAGAAAATGTGCTAGATACGTATTTTTTGAGTTCAGAAGTACACCTACAAATGAGACTTCATAACATCAGGCTTAACACAATAAAAACTGTTACAGGGAAGTGATAAATGCTGGAAAAACATCTTATAAGAAATACGAGCAGAAGAGCAAACTAAATGTATTAAACTGATAATGCAGCCATAATAAATTTAACCGGTGAGGAGCATGAACCTTTTTTCTAGAGTTCAAACATTTTAACTTTTTATTGAAGAGAAATCATCTCACTTTCGGAGGGAAAATAAACCTTGAAAATCCCCTTTTTGTACTTCTGCCTAATGTGAAGTTGCAAGCTGCCTGTAATGCCCAGAAGCACCAAAGAAGGAATTGCAGCGAGATGAGCAGGGTGGGGTGGGGGGAAAATGGCCTGAAATCCAACGGGCAGCCAGGATTTGAGCTGGGCTTACACAGAACAGCAGCGAGGGCT